TTAACTAGTTTTGGCTAATAATTGTTTTTGGCTATGAATTATTGATGAGCTCTAAGCAATGGAAGACGGATATCTCAGTTTTGGTACTAAAATTGGAAATCTCCGATTCAGGTACTTTACAAAATCTGCCTTCTTAAACTAAGCTTTAATCCTTAATTCATTTCCAACTAGCTCTAAAAGTACTGGTCCTTAGGATTTTTATAATGTACAGGACTTTGGAAAAATAGTACCACTTTTCTTTTAAAAATAAAATTCATATTTGTTTTGGTACTACCTCGTCCTAAGTAGAAATTAGAACTATAGGGAATGAAAAATGATAGTTTTATTTTGGGCCTTGAGAACCCAATAGGAATAATTTCCCTTTAGTACATAGCCTTCTTTTCTTTTTGGGCCACTCTTTTGGGCTTAGCCAAACAAAAACAGTTACGTTTCTCAAATCAAACGAAACTGATTTTCTAATTGGAACAGTTTCAATTTCTTGGAAATTGGTAAAAGATTCCTTCCACTTTTCAACTTCTTGGAAGTTGAAACTCCTTTACTCTCACCGTTCCAACTACTCACTTAATGGAACCCGTGAACCTCCTCCTCCCCTATTTAAATCAAGACATTCCAATCCATTTCCATCACAAACAATTCTTTCAACATGAAAAGTCTTCAATTCACTGACTGAGAAAAACACCAAGAAAATTATCCTCAATGGAGAAATTTTTCTTTCTCACCCTCATAGACGGCAATGGAGAAAAGCCTTGTGAGAAGAAAAATAATCTAAAGTTTATGGTGCAATTCTCGGCAGTAGAGAAAGTTTATGGTGTAATTCTCGTATTTTTCAGGATTATACTATACACTTTCTCTGGAACAACACTCTCTCCATTTTCGTCTCATCTTTTTTTTTTCTCTTTTTGGCCTTCAAATTTTAATTTTTGAGCAGTCGCCGCACTCTTCTTACAAGCATTTTTTTTAAAATTTTTTGTGCAGTCTCTGCTCCCTTCTCCCAAATATTTTTTTTAAAATTTTTTTTCCCTAATTATCCTTTAAATTCTTTTTCAAAATTTTTATTTTTCCCTTCATCTTTGAAAACCTTATTTTATTTTTTTTCACAATCAATTCTCTTTACAAAAACTTTTTCTTGTCTTTCTATTTTTTTTGTTTTCTTCTTTCGTTTTTTTGTTCTTGTTTTTGCTTTTTGAGAGATGTGTTGCTTCCAAGATTTTGAATATCCACTTTGGATATTAAAGATCTATCAAATGCAACGCCAACCGCTTTGCCAAGCAAGTTCTGCTGAAGCTGAAAACGGTCAATGGCGGAAGAAATATCACAAAATCTCAAGACAAGCACTACGTCAAAAACAGATGGTGACAACTGCTTTTTTTAGTAGTCTAACTGTGCTGGTTTCAGTAGTCTTCCGAGCAGCTGTCTGATATATTTACAGACTACTATTCAAAAACAATTGTGTAATACGGTTGCCGACACCTATTTTGTGATGTTTCAGAGTACATATTTTTGAAGTTGTCCCCGTATGAGTAAGACATCTCTTTTCTAGAGTTAAAGACAACTATGATTTTTTGTTGTCTTTCTGTGATGAATACTACTGTTGTTTTCGGCTTCAGACTCCTATTGCGTGGTGTTGTCATTCAACAATATAGACATCTAATTTCAAAAGTAGTTGTAAGATATATCAGACTGCTGCTCGGAAGACTACTGAACAAAAATAGCATCAGACAACTGTTATCTTGTGTAGTTTTTCTAAAATGAAGACTACTAATTTTGCTGTATTTTAAACAACTATTTCTTTCAGTTGTATAGTGCTCAATAACACTGCGCTTTTTTGTAGTTGTTCTTGAAATATTCAAACTATCTTTTTACACACTAGTCAGGTTATAAATCAGACTACTGCGCCGAAGACAACTAAGTATGTTTGCATAAAACAACTACTATTATGTGTTGTATTTGTAAAATGTAAACAACCTTATTTGTTGTATTTCAGACAACTGTTTGTTTCAATTGTCTAATATTTATTAACAATACATGTTTGTGTAGTCATCCTTTAAAGATTTAGAAAACTGTTTAAATACATTGTAAAGCTTTTTGAAAGACTACTATATTTCAATTTACATTTATATTTAATAATTAAAATTTATTTCAATTCTAAAATATTGATCATGAAACAAAAATAAATTCCAAAATGTACAATATATTGAATAATATCTAAATACATACAATCCAAAATCTTATTAGCATCCAATAATTTAATGTTTACATAATTAAAATCACATTCTAATTGTCCTTTGAGCATGCCTAATTTAGTTATTTGTCCCCTCAATAACATTTTTGAATTCATCTCTTGTTCTAGCAACATTTTTTTGTAAAGCATCCTCTTCAGTCCTCAATCTGCATACCATTAAATAAATAAAATGAATGCTTATTGATAACAAGAAAGAGTTCCATAACAAAAATACCTGAAACTTTTTGGAGGTATTTACTTGCTAAATACCTCCAAAGCAGATCTTATGCATCTAGTTAACAATTGAAGTTCATAACTCAGCTTAGAAATTAAGCAAAATGTGAAGATTTTTCAAAATAAAAAAATGTCACCTTATGATACTTGCACTGCTCAAGTAGCATGAAACTTCATGAAGTGCCCAGCAAATTCAACCTTAATTTCATTGATGTCATCCATAGTGTATTCTAGATTCCCTCTTCGCGCCCACTGAAAATACAATATAAAGAATGAGTAAATAAGAATGAAAATGTCTTGTACTTTTATTCTAATATGGTGGACAATAAGCATTTTTGTTTCATATTTTTCAAACCCCAAAAACTAACTCACTATAATTATTCCGAAGTAACTAGGGGTCAGAAAGCAACCACCCTTTCAGCCCATAAACCAATTAAAACTTCAATTAATGCTTTCATTATAATAATTACAGTAATACTAAAAATATAGGTAAAGATATAATCAAATAGAAATAACAATTGTACTTGCTACTTTTGGAGCTTTAGCCTTGATATTAGCACGGGGTTATTCACTAAGATATATTCGGAATTGGGAGCTTGGTGATCATGAATTAAAATAGCCCATCTTTCCTCTTGAATTTTAGGAAAGGGGTTTAGATAAATCTCAAAGGAAATTGTTTCTTTGTTTCTAGTAAGGAATTCTTTATGTTCAAAACAAGAGACATACTCTAAAGTTGATTTAAATCTGTGCCAAATGAACAACATATCTCTAAGCACTTCAAGCTTGTTTAAAAAAGTTTGATCATAAGTACTGTGAAGTGATGATTTGATCAAAACCAGTTCCGCAAATTTCTTTCCCCAAAGTTTCACTTTCTTCATAAATATGAGCTTTACTAGTCCTAAATTCAGCCCCTAACTCATTTTATGCTTCAAACTCACCTCTTAAAGCTTCAGTTTTATCTTGAAAATCAGCTTCACAACCATATTCTATTGAAAAATCAGTCCCTAGAGCTTCAGCTGTATCTTAGAAAACACCTGCAAAATCATATTCTTTATGAAAATCAGCCCTAAAAGTTTTACCTTAAGGATAAAAAACAAAATTAGATTCTCTTTCGAAGTTTGTTCTAACAATTTGATTTTGGTAGTGAAAATCAAATTCCAAATCAGATTCACTCCCAAAGCACAAAGCAACAAAAACAACAAAGCAAGAGTAATCCCACGAGTGGGCACAGGAAGGTAGGATATACATAGGCCTAAACTCTACCCACATAACAAACAAAACATACAAAACACATAACATACAAAACATCCAAAGCTGCAGTAGGTACAAACAACAGACAAACCAAGTAGATTCAAACGATTAACATGAGTTGTTGCCCGAGCTAAAGGAAAATCAGGGGAATTACATCCAGCATTGAATCACAAATCTAGACAAGGAATGATACACACCCTAAATCATGACCAAAAAGCACCAGAGATTTGGAGGAAAACAAAAGCATAAACCTGGGGATTTGGAGTCTCAACCTTCCGCTATGAACAGTAAATTCGAGACAACCAAACGCTCAAATCATTGGAATCTTAACATGGATTAGAAATCCAGTTTGAGATTCAAAGAGAGCTCCCATATTCGCTAGTGAGTCCCCAAAACTCCGGCTCCAATTTAGCAAGAAGATGGCCAAATCGGATTTCCAAAATTTTGCCGATAAACGGTGACCAATGAGCCGTTGACCTTCAATTCTTACATATCCGAGCAGACAAATCACCGATTGAACTCTAATATGTATTCCTTTGTTGAGGGCGAATCTAGATGTCCAAAAATCTCAAGAATTAAGCATGAAATCAAGGAGGAAGCAGCGGAATTGGTTGGGGGCATGAATAGTCTCACGATTTGGTTGGGCGTGAATAGGGCTAGAATGAATCTCTAGTCTGAGAATGAACGGTGGATATTACCTAAATCGGTCCTGCTAGGGGTACACCAAGTGGTGTACCCCAATTGAACACCATATACACCCCCTCACTCCCATTCCTTAACCTACCCTATCCACTCATTCACAGATATCTCCTCCTCACTCTTTTTTCCTCCTCAGATTCCTCAACTCCCTCCCTCTTTGCCGATGATCGACGCAGCACCTGGCCTTCATCATCTCCCTTTCTCACTCATTCTCTCTTTCTCCCTAGATCTCGCATTTCTCTTCCGCTCCACCGGTGATTAGCTTCATCTTCGGCGCCCCCTGAAGTTGCACGGCATGGGCTCCCCACAGCCGCCCAGAAGCGTCACAACGACGCCATCATCATCGTCGTCGTCGCCGAGATCTGGATCGGAGTAGGGCGACGAACCACGCCTTCAATTCTTTCGCCGCCACCTGCTTCCCCCTCGTCGCCCGCTCCTCTATGATTGTCACCGCAACTTTCTTGGTCTTCAACAATGTCGCCAGAGCAGTTGATTTTGGCAGAGATGGTGGTGCAATTTTCACTCAGAGTACACAGACAGTAAATGTCTGTGTTCAAACAATTACAGAATTTTAGTGTCTGTGTAACTAAATAGCGTTGATTGTTATTTTTTCTTTTGTTTTAAACATAATTAAATTTGTGAATGCTTTTGATACTCTATTATTTTGCATATTTAATGGGTGAAATTTTCATCCAGGTTACACAGATAATAAGTGTCTATGTATCAAGAATTACATATATTTAGTGTCTATGTAACAAAACAGTGGTAATTATAGCTATTTTATTTTTTTACAATCTAGAGAAAATTGTGAAATGTTCCTTATGCTCCATTATGTGTATATTTGTTTGATTAGTTTTGATACAGGTTACACACACAATAAATATTTTTTTTAATGAATTACAAACGTTTATTGTCTATTTGACCAAACATTACTTTATGCATATTTACTTTATTTTTACAATACAAGAAAAAATTGTGAAATATTATTTGGTATATTTGACAAGTGCACTTTTCATACATTAAATACATATATTACATGTTTGTGTTTGAATAATTACAAACTTTTAGTGTCTGTGTGACCAAATTCGCCTCATTCTTTTTTACACTATTAGTCTTCTAAACCACTACAACTCGCCGTCGAAAATTCATCGCGTCTTGCCTGCTTTCCCTGCGCACCGCCGTCGGAAATTCATCGTGATATAATTATCTATCACATAGACATCTACAATCTGTGTCACTGAAATTACATACAACTAGTGTCTGTGATAGACTTGATAAAATGTTTTTGATCAAGAATTACATATATAGACTGTCTATGTCTATGTAACTAAGCTATGTTAATTGTAACTCTTTTTTACAATATAGAAAAATTGTGAAATGTTCTTTATGTTCCATTACATGGTATATTTGATGGATTTCATTTAAACACATATTACATAGACAATAAACATCTATTTCTGATTAATTAAAGACAATTTTTGTCTATGTGACCATAAAACACAACAAATAATACTACAAAGAGCCAAGAATTAGATGTAGTAAAAAGGGGGAGATGTAGTTACAATAAAGTGTAAGTTATAATATAGCACAATGAGATATTGTTTTCAAGAATGAGAAACAAATAAAGCATAATTATATTTCACTTTTCAATTCCACCATTAAAGCAAGCAAAAGAACTGAGAACATCCAAAATTATATCACACCCAAACTTTATATACCAAACATTACATCCTTCAAAATTTTAGAATAAAAAATTCTAGTGACATGTGATGATTA